GGGACCTCTGGGAGAGCTTTTGTTTATTTCCCATCTGCAGCTGCATTCTGCGAACGAGGACAAAAATCCAGAGGAGTTTGGACCAATATTTATACCCAGCAATATAAGCAAAGATGTGATTTTATAAACAACTGTCTCTATGAAGGAGACTGGCCCAGGTGATTCCTTGGATGGGACCTTTGTAGATAAAATGAGCTGCATGCATGGTAAAGGCATTGCCAATTATTTTTTATTCACTTGCAATGTGCCTTTGAACTTGCTGGAAAATGTGACATTTCCAGGTGAGTCAATTTTCTAGCACAGCCCTCTCCCTCCTTGTACAACATAGCCTTCTCCTCTTCTAGAAGAGTGTAATTAGTCGGTGTTGACCCAGCATCTCCGCCCCTTAGGGTTGAGCGGCCACTTGAGTACTGGGGCTGCTGACATCACATCCAAGATGGCGGCACCCAGCAACAGTCTAAGGCTTGGATGTCTATACAAGGGAAGCCTTTACAGATAAATAACATGCATTAAGTACATTAAATGCACATATGATTTATTTTTTATATGACATTATGGTCTCTTTAAGAACAAGGAAGACCTATGCCTTGCCTTTTAGATCACACTGTGCCATTAGATACACAATGTGAGCATTACTGCTTTGTACAATGCTACTGGAGGAGCAAGCTAAGTGACTTAATCAATATGTTACTTGTCACAAGCTGGGGGCTGGTTGATGACTAAACTGTATTGCTTTCTAGCCCTGAAAAGTAAGGTCACCAACACAGAAATTCTAACAAATTCTTGTGTGTATGTATATACAGTATATCAAATATATATTTAAATGTTTTCCAGGCATTCTTTCTACTTTTTTTTTTACCCCCTTCCCCCTCCCCAGGAGGGGGAAGGTTACCAAATAACTACTTATATTCTTCACACTCCAGTGCCACCTTCTGATTCCTTCTTCATACTCCAGCATTGGTCCTTCATACTCCAGCATTGGGTTGTTTAACTCACTTCCTCTGAGCCCAGGCTGTTAATGACTCCCTCATTGTGTCATTATGCTGCCAGGGCTCCAGACATATCACCACATAGAACAGTGTCATAAATTTAGTGTTGGCCTGCATATACCACATTATAACGTGCATACCACTCTGTGCAGCAGTGGTGAAGAGGGATCTCAGAGGTATGTATCCTGAAATGAAAACAAATAAAAATTCATTTAGCCCTAATCCTCATTGTACTTCATATTGCCAGTAGGAAACATAAACTGGGCTTGGCCTGAGCTCTTGCTTCCTGTGTCTTCCTACTCTAGAAAGTAATTTGGAAGAGCTGCATCTCTGGGGATTGTACTGTTTCTCACAAATTGTTTTGTAGCTTGTTCACTTGGAGTAGATGCTTGTTAACTAAGAATAAAGAAGCTTTGGCCTGTGAAGCTTGTGTCTTTTGTACAGATAAGAAATTAGTCCCCGCTGAGTCAGTCATTTTGACTTCAGAATATCGATTCCTAAATATCTTCATCTGATTCATTCATAAGCATCCAGAAATGATTTTGGCTAGGTTTTCCAAATTTAGCAACGAATGTTTACTGCAAATGTTCCTGTAAATTCAGTCCTCTGTTCCTTCTCGCACTTCTTCTGTACCCTTTTAACATGTGGACTAGATAGAGGAGTTATTAGCAGTCAGTCCTGCCCTATTCAGATAAGCAAAAGAGACAGACCTTCTACCTTTTTAATGAAGAACACAGATGTGACATCTATTGGTTGGTCACTTTGTGCTTTCTGGATAGGGAGATTTTGGTCAATAAAATATACAAAATTATATTTTGAAGGGCATGTGTGGCCTGCCTAGAGCCTGCACTCACCTCAAGACACATTGCTTTTACAGGACTGGCGCATGCACTAGGATGATGACAGGAAATAGCCATGGATAAAGGCAGCCTGGTGTAGATGCAGAACTATGGCCATTCCCGATCATCATGTGCCAGCTATGATAGGTATTTGGCTGGGAGAGCAGGATAGAGAAATCACAACAAAAGTTTTATGTTGAAGAATTAAAGAAAAAACGGTGCTAGGAGAAATATGATGGCTGTCATTGCTGCCCTTATTCCGAAAATGGTAGTTGCCTGGCTGTTTTTTGATCCAGCACTTTCTGAAC